TTAGTTAGAGACAGAGGTGGTTTGGTTAATTGGATTAAGTTCTTATCCACTAAAAACACTGTTATAAATGTACTGTTAAAAAAAGGTAAAGCTAACCCTGTAACAGGCTGTAGAGGCCCATAGGGTTGTTAAATGTGAAAGATCCCACATTTTCTAGATAATCGGCGCATGTGGTGAGGTTATCAGCCTTATGTGGCAACTGCACTTTAGCCCCAGGAAGATTCCTGGTACTCATTTCTGTTAGAGGCTGAGTTGAACCCAGGGCCATAATGCGGCTGGAAGGATAGGTAAATTGAAAAGAATCCAATGACCTCATTTGAAATTGAACTTGTGACCTTCCAGCTTGTAGCATAGATAACTACTGTTATAGTAATAAAAACCAGAAAACTTTTAAGCTGGTGAAACGTGAAAAATTACTCAATATAATTATAAATTAGCATTCTCAAACACTTCTTCTGAGAAAGTCAGTGATGTGTATTAGATGCATTCCTTGATTGCTCTGATTTGGTTAATTGGTAGTATATAATCAGCTTTCTACTGTACTAGGGAAGGTTCTTATATTGACTTCATCTACAGCCCATCCATACAGACTGAAACTATTGCAGTACTTCAAGCTTCTGCAGTTTCACTAGCAGTCTTAACTGATTTTCTTAGCAGTTTTGTAAAGAGCTTTGTTTTTCTTGTGAAGGCTTGTTAGTATTGTATATGAATGATTTACCACCCAGCATAAATCGTCTTTACTGTTGTAATTGCTGTGTTATGTCCAACCCCCCAAATTATTTCTGCTATAATGCCCAAACCAGATTCCACCAACTGTGAGCAGAGTGTATTGTTTCTTGGGAGGTGAAAGCTTACAAGCTAGTAAGAGTTGAGTGATTTGGTTCTCTAAGAAAACCTGTACATGCCTGGACCAAATTTTTGATCTTTGAAGGAATGTTTTTACCAGAGATCATATAATCTCTAAATAGTAAGGACAATAGATCACTGTAGGTCACGGTGCAAGGGCCGAGAAGGCTCACCCCTTATACATTCACATCTTAAATATTAATGTATTGTCTAAGGAATTGTTTCTTATTTAAGAATATTTTACAAGGAATTTGCAGTTAATTTTGAATGTGTGTTTTCTGTTAAAGGTCATGAAGTTTGAGAGATAAGGTACTATCTAAAAATTAGAATAACTTAGTTACCTATTTTTCAAACAGTAAATTTGCCCGCAGTAATTGCTTTTTAGTTTTCCACCTTGTACAGTATCACTCAGTCTTCAATAAAGTCATGAGGTCCAGCCAGATGGATAGAAATGAGTGTTAGATTCATTCAGATGAGTTGTAATTCTTACTTTATCACTGCCAACACTACAGCTTACCCATATCCCTACATTTTCTTATTTGCTGTTCATATACACATCTACATTTCACAATATTGTTACATGTTTCAGTGACTCTAGACATGGTTTGGATTGGTAATTTAATTTATTGAATATTTACTGATCATAACCACAAGTAACTGTAGCACTACTGCTAATTCACACACACTGAGTTTTTTCAGTCTGCTGTCTTCACCAGTCATTGCTTGGTAACGGCTTCAATGGTGGTTGTTCCGCTTACTCTGGATTCCTGCACTGTCCCTGGATCTCGGCTACCAGCTTCTGGCAGCAACAGCTTACAGTGACTGAACTTCAGCAGTCCTTAGCTCACCAGTGATTTTTCTTCAACTGTTCCCTCCTTAAGGTGTCTCATTTTCAGCGGCTCCCTGATAAGGTGTGAGCCGGTCCAAGTGTACAACCACCAACCTAGATCTAGGGTTCCACTGGATCCTGTATACCACATTTATCTAGATGACTACCTTCTGTGGGCCCTCCCATGAGGATTGGAGCTTGGTTGATTTCCCCTTTGTGCGGTTTGGACGATAAAGCCACACTTTGCTGCCCTCGTAGTGTGGCCTGCGCAGTTGGCGAGTCGATCTTAACAAGTTTTCATCTGGTGACAGGCAAGCTTCATGTGTTGGCAGGCATAAGTGTGGATTCCGTGTAGATGATCCACAAAATTTGCTGTATGTTTGGTTATGGGCCGTTCCCTATTCGGGGTGTCCCAAACAGCAGGTTACAGGGCAATTGGAGTTCTCTTAGGAATTCTAGGCTAGTTGGCATCAAGTTCATGTTGTGAGTGGAAGTAGGCCATGAGGAGGACGGGTAATCTTGAGTCCCAATCCCTCTGGTGTATTGCGATGACCTTTCGTAGACGCTCCTCAACTGTTTTGATGTAGAGCTTGACCGTACCATCCGATTGCGGGTGCAGGGGTGTGGTGGCGTTTTTCTCACTCCCAGATGTCACAACACCTGTTATCAGAGTAGGCTTGACTTGAAATTGTGGTCAATGTTACTGTATAGCTCCTGCGGTACTCTGAAGCGGGAGAAGTTGGTAACTAACGCCTCAGCCATTGTCAAAGCCTCTAGATTGGAATGGTGTAGGCTTCCTGCCACTGGGTAAAATAGTCCATGGCGAATGGGGTGGGGCTTATTAGTTTCCTTGGTTGCTTCATGTGAAGGGCCCAGCTACATCCATGGCTCTCCTTCCAAATGGTTCCAACATACTGAAACATTTGGCTCTGATTCCTGGTTTGGGGCCCGTGACTGGTCGTTTCTTGCCAGGAGGCAGGTGTACCTTTGTTGGAACTTATTCAGAGTCTCAGTGACACCCAAGTGACTTGTCAACAGTCCACCGTGTAGGTAGGTAGTACATCGTTCACTCTGCTCTGAGGGAGGACTGGTTAATTTGCTATCATCAGTGGATTCATGGTGTTGCTGTAGTATGTCATTACTCACAGCGAAGCCTGTCCAGTGTGCTCAGTAGTTTTTGTATGTGGGTCTGCAGTCGGTGAAGTCTTTCTATTCTCTGCGCTGTCTACTCTGTGCTTCCTCCAGAATGGGACCTGTGTTGTGGTCACTCGGTTGTGTTCTCAGAGCAACTGGATCCCAGCCTCCTGCAGCTACAGCCACAATAGTTTGCACCTGCTTGATGTCTGCCCACGCCTTGACTTTCTGTCAGTGGGCACACTCCTCTTGGTATGGTCTTTGTGAAAGGCATCAGCATTGTTGTGTTTTCAGCCATGAGGGTGCTCAGAAGTGAAGTACCTGTGTAGGCGCTGAATCCATTGGACGGCTTGTGCCCTGAGGTTCTTAAAACCCATGAGCCAGGTGAATGCAGAGTGGTTGGTGCGCAGGTGGAACTCCTGTCCGTAGAGGTACTCATGGAAATGTTCCAGTGTCCTCACTGTTGCAAGTAGTTCCCATCGGGCGATGCAGTAATTTCTCTCAGCCTTGTTCAGCATCTTACTGTAGTGGGATATTACTCGCTTCTGTCTGTCCTGTACTTGGGATATCACTCCTGAACTACATGTATGATGAGGGTTGGTGGTAGTCCTCTCAGATGACACAATATGGCCGAGATACCATACTGCCTTCTGAAAGAGTTCTCACTTCTCCGTAATGAAGTTAGGCGCGCTTCCCGGAACCACTGGAAAATGCTGCAGGTTTAGCAGATGCTCTTGGAACATGCTGCCAATCACGATCATGTCCAGGCATGTGAGACATGACTCGTGAGACCTAAGATGGTCCCAGATGACCGCTCAAAAATATCTGGACCGTTGCAGAGGCCAAAGGGCGTGACTGAACAGTCATAGCCTTGACCCATCAAGAATGAAGTCATCGTTTGCATGCAAAACCACCTTTCTATAACCGTTCTATAGGTCCAGAGTGGAGAACCATTTGGCTCCAGCCACCATGTCCAGAATGTTGCCGGGGTGGGGGCTGTGGGAAACATTCTTGTGACATTGTTCACTTTCCTGTAGTCAATGCAGAAGTGTAGGTACCCCTTCTTCCTGACTAGAATGACAGGATGACCAGGGGCTGTCTGACTCATCAGTAACCCCATGTCATTCCACATTCTTGGGTGTGGTCCTTTCTTTAGCTTCTGGTTGTGGTGGCTAGCATTCAGGACCCTAACGGGTACCTTCTGTCTCGGGTTGGGGTCCTGGCTGTGTAGAGCCTTTCGGGCAGATGGTCCTCCTTACTTGGTTCTGCAAGGCCATTTTCCACTTTGAAAGGGCTTTCCAGTTGAGCTGTCACCACTCCCTCGCATTGTGCAGCCATAAGGCTGGAATGCTGGAGCTCCATAGCAATACCTTTTCCTCTGCAAGACAGGGTTTGACTTCATAGATCGCCAGATGGATCATATGTGAGCAGGATGCCCAGTCCCAAGATAACTTGTTTGTGATATTGACGACAAATATAAAAATTTTAAATGGGCGCCGCCTTGGGGTCAGTGTCAGGAAAACTTCCTTCAGGATGAGGAAGGTTTTCTAAGATACCAACTGCAGCTTGTAGCATTGATTCTGCTGTGTTGCACTGTTATTTCTCTCTTTGCTGTGAGTTGTTAATCCATGCTATCTTTATGCCGACATCACATTTCCTTAGCAATAAACACAGTTCCACAACAGTAGTAAAACATGCAGGAACACATGAGCATGTATCCTGTATATAAACATGGTTTGGTTGCTGAGCGTTTAGTTTTTTATCCCCAATAACATTGTCATTATATTGTTTGTTGTTTGGTATTTGATGACCAAGATTTATATGGCATTTTGTGATGGGATGATGAATTGTAAGTGATTTGGAACATGGACATCATTGCTTAATGAAGGTCATTTGCTTATAGGGACTTGAGAAAACTACAAAAAGTCTCACGATAGCTGGTGGCCCAGCTGAGATTTTATCTGGGGACGTCCTGAATACGAGTTTAAAGCATTGCTGCAAGACCAACTTTTTAATACCCTCATCTGAAAATGTTGCCAGCATTTTTCGACCAGGAGGTTTAAAATCACCCATTCCCAGATTCTGAACTGTTATCCCAAATTAAAGTATGATCAAGAACCCTGTAGAAGCTGGGAGATCTAAATTTCCTATTTCTGAGTCATAATGATTAATCAGATGTTTTCTCTGCCAGCCTGAACAATGGAAGAGGTGCCAAACCGTGGTGGTTTTCGTGGTGGGGCACGTGGTAGGGGTGGCCCAGGAAGAGGTGGCCCACTGAGAGGTCGTGGAGGTTTTGGTGATGGTATGCGAGGAAGGTAGGTTTCTAATTTTATTCCTGAAAATTAGGCTACAGTTAATTTTTTTCAGAAACCCTGATAACATAATATGGATGATGGAGAAGTAAAGGGGAAAGTGAAAGGGTGGCCTTCTGTCCTAAGATTCAGCTTAAATATTTCTGTCATGAGTAGTATAACCTCTCGTTACCTTTCTGATGAAGGTTTGAATCAGGGGGCATGTCACTCCTGCAAAGTTTATGCTACTTGACATGAATTGAGTTATATTGTAAACTTTGTATATAAAGGATTAAATTTCTTTTTATATTCATCAGATCAGACCACCCCTGTGATCTAGTGGTCAGAGTTCCTGGATACAGATCCAGAGGTCCCTGGTTCAGTTCTCTTCTCTACCAGATTGTCTGAAACGGGGTCCTCTTAGATTCATAAGGATAATTGAGGAGCTATTTCAGTGGAAAGGTAGCGGCTTCAGTTTAGAGAACCAAAATTAACAGCCATGGGAAACGGTTCCGCTGACCACATGGCCCCCCCTCTATCTGCAAAAGTTGGCACTAACTTTGCCAACAAGTAGCGGTTGCTTTGTTGGTATAGTTTGCTTGCGCACTGAACGTCAAGGAGTTAGTTTTGTTTTTATAAACCTCCACTCTTAACACTTCACGGACTGGCGATTTAAATATTTAATCACCCTGGGGACCGGCATTTTTAAACCTACTACCCTAACTTGTGCACTGTTCACTTTAAAAATTAATATAAAATTTCATAATTAATTTTATGAACTAAAATTTTTGGAGAACACTTTCCAATGCTCCTAGAAGTGCTTGAGAGCGTGATATTTCTGGAAACATTCCCCTTTGTGAAGTGGCATTACAGAGAACTTGCAAATGTAGACATGCTCCTTTTTTATGAACTGTGGAAACACGGCATTGCCTAGAAAGATGCTTCCCCATGGAATGTTCACTCTTCACAATTTTCATGAGTGTATGTCACCCTAGAATCGCCCTGTGGGATCCACATGAGGCTTGCGTGGGGTGGGATTGGATGGGCACGGTCGCACTAAGTGTGTCTGATTCTGGCTCTGCCTCCACCATCTGGTCCGTAGCCCAAGGCTTTGCCACATTCATCAGAAATGCTTTGTATTTAAATTTCGAATCAGGATTTAGATTTTTGTGATTTTTTAAAATTTTTTTTACTGTCCCTGCAATGTTATTACCATCATTATCGTCGGAGATGCGGTCACTTTTACTGTCTGTGGCCACAATTCTTTGCTCTCCCCTGTCACTGCTGCTCTCTCAAATACCATAACTACGCATCTCACAAGGCAGGCCAGCTGGCTCCTCGGAGAAGAATTTGTCCTTGTCCATACCCCAACACTACTGGCTGATACATACAGCTTGAAGAGCAACAAAGCATTATCACTTATAGTGGCTTAAGAAAACAGCGAGATTAACTTTCTGACAAGCAAGCGAATATTCCAGAGTTTTATTACGCCATTGTGTGCAACTTGGGTGGCACCAGAGAGATGTATATTGTGTTGCAGCTTATTGTGTTTTAAAAACCTGTTAACAGGCAAACGGTCCGCCATGTTTAAAAGCGAAAAATCTTTTAAAGGGTGCATGGTCTGCAAACTGTTAATATTAAGAGAATTATTTCTGATGTTATTTTTATGACATTCTTCTAGGGGTGGCCGTGGTGGCATGATGCGAGGTGGGCTACAGGGTCGAGGAGGTAGAGGTGGCCCTCCTAGGGGTGGTGGTATGGGCCGTGGAGGGGACCGAGGTGGCTTTGGTGGACCTGGAGGAAGGTTGGTTTGTTATAACAGTGATATTAATCTCACCTTTTCTTTTATTTGTTTGCATAAAATGGATTGTTGCTTTCCAGAGGACGAGGCATGGGTATGAGAGGACGTGGAGACTTTAGCTCAAGGGGAGATGGACGAGGTGGTGGTTTTGGAGGTAGAGGTAAATTGAAATATGACATTTTGAGACAAAGCAGTATTTGGTTTTGCAGAGTGTGTGGTGTTCAGGTTGTGACACTAATTCCTGCTTTGAATTTATAGGTCGTGGAGGCCGTGGGATGGACAGAGGGGGCCGTGGAGGTCGTGGTTTTGACAGAGGAGGTCGGGGTGGTGGTGGAGCTCCTATGGGTGGTGACCGATATGGACCACCACCAGCAAAGCGAGGTGGCATGGTACCACCACAGGGTGGACCAATGGCCAAGAGAGGTCGATTTGAAGGTGCACAAGGTGCTAATGGTTATTCTGCTCATCCTCATCCACCGAGGTCAGTCTTTAATTGCAAATACTATTTCTTTAATTTTTGGCTATTTAAGTATTTAACTGCCTTTCTCCCACATGAATAACAATGTAGGTTATACTAATATGATTGAAATTCTTGAAAACATGTATCATGGTACATGTATTTTTAAACTAGCAAGTGCAGTAAAATCTTAATCTAGAATTGAAGGAAGCAGGCAGAGCCTTGGGATGTAAATAATTTGAAACTGGTAGGAAATGGCTGTTTCTTATGATTCACAATCTGTGGTTAATTTTAAATATTTGGGGGGGGGGTGAGCATTTGTGTGGTTTTTCTTTCAGTACAGGGTTAACTCCCCTGAAGTTGATTTTTTATCCTGCTCTGGAATGGTACATATTTCTTTTTGATTGTATGCAGTGAGTGCTATAGATAAGATGTCTTGTACACTGCATTATTTTAATTTTACAGTACACAGTAAATAGTTTACATTTATCGTATATATGCAAACAAATTCCACATAAATTAACCTTGTATGTGCAAGGTTTTAAATTTGCTGTTCTTGCTCTTGACCTGATGAAATCGTGATTTTTAATCATCTAGGATTCTGAGTGTTAGAAAATATTTTGTTACATTTCTGAAGACTGAAACACTACAAAGAACTAGATTATTAAGATTGAATCCATGCCCCAGTATATCTGTTTTTGAAATTGAAAGTTTGTGTATGTACATCCAGTGAACATTATGTTTGTTTTTGTATTTTCATACATACTCACTGGAGGAGCCGCCATTTCTGCAGCTACTCAAGAATTTCCCAGCATTTAATGGAAGGTTCATTACCGTGTTCACAAGAGCCCTCCGCTGGTTCATATCTTGAGCCAGATGAATCCAATCCATACCATCCCATCCTCTCTCTAAGACCCATTTTAATATTGTCCACCTACCTACGCCTTGGTCTTCCCAGTGGTCTCTTTCCTTCTGGTTTTCCCACCAATATCCTATACGCATTCCTCGTCTCCCCCATTTGTGCTACATGCCCTGCCCACTTCATCCTCCTTGACTTGATCATTCTAATTATACTTGGAGAAGAGTACAAGTTGTGAAGCTCCTCACTATGCAGTTTTCTCCAACCTCCTGTCACTATTATGGTATACAAAAGAAAATAAAATTATTTATTGAAATTATGCAGTTTCCTCCAACCTGTCAGTTCATCTCTCGTCAGTCCAAATATTCTCAACACCCTGTTCTCAAACACACTCAATTTACCGTATGTCCAAAAAGTATCCAACTTTATTTTTTTCTGCTGTAAGTAATTGCCAAAAGGGTGGGGAAACTGAGCGTAGTGGTAGAAGGGACTTTCGTGCGCATGCGTGATTTTTTGCTGACTCGCAACACTGCTGGATGCCTCTGTGGCTATCAGATAACGAAGTGGTGTAACACGTGTTTGTTGCATTCTTGTTTCGCTCAAGATGACAGAATGCTTGGAGCAGCAATACTGCATTAAGTTGGGGATACCCAAGCGGAAACAATCCGCAAAATTCAGCAGGCTTTCGGCGATGATGCAGGGGGGGTCACCCAAATTAAAGAGTTGTTCAACCGCTTTGAACATGGCCGTATGCCGGCGGACAGTGAGCAGTGTTCTGGGAGACCGTTGAGTTGAAATGCTGATGTCATTGAAAAAGTGCAGGCACTGATCACGGAGGACCGTCGTTTGGCCATCCATGAAGTTGCTGATGAGGTTGGGACCAGCAGAGGTTCCGCAAACACAATTTTAACCTTTATTGGACGAACATCATCATATGATGTCGTTGAAAGTTAGGGCAGCTGGCCAAACGTCATCATATGATGTCACGGATTCCACACGTGTAAGGTTTTTTTTTTAAATATTCTATTTACATGATTTTTGGTCACCACCTTTATAAGGAGACAGCCTTCCTTCCTGCATAATCTAATGTAATCTACCGACGTCATATGGCCGAACGACCTCATATGATTTCGCGCATTGCACGCGTGTAATGATTTTTTTAAAATTAAATTTTTGCTCTGCTTACGTGATATATGTTCACCATCTTCATGAGGAACAGCCTTCCCTCCTGCGTCATCTATGGTAATGTGGCCTTCGTATGGTACTGCCAAAAACATTCCGAAATGCAGAGTCCGACGTCGCAGCTCACGCACTTCGTACGAACGCTAGACCGCTTCCCACGCGAAGAGCACACACGACACCTCAATTGCGATTTAGAGGAAGCAGGCCAGTGATGTTGAGCTGCAGTGATATTTATCCCCGCAGCTACACCGGAATAATTATTCACACCTCTCCAGCCACACTGGTCTGGCGGTCCCCAAGTTGCCGACGAAGGTGATGACCCTTCGTCT